CCATAAATTTCGAAGATAAGATTTAATTATTTAAGTGCAAATAAGTCACTCTAACCTTAAAATATCATTTGTACGACTTTGAAGTACGTTGAGTTTATCGGTAAATGACAAACGAACATTGAAATGCGCAGAAATATTATTTTTCGGCCGTACTAATGCAATTACTTTAAAAGAAACTGTTAGAAATCAGTGGCATTCTACTGGCGTTGTAGTATAGACCTTCTCTATGGTGTAGACCTCAAAGTTTTTACTACTTTTCATCGAATATGAAGTTTTTGCTTTTAGTCCATGTGTATATTTACTTTTATTCGCATAATGTGTCATACAGACAATTTCCTAGATATAATGTTAGTATGAAGCTATATTGTGGCAAAAATTTTATCACAATCAAATATTAAAATTTTCTTATTTTATAACAGCATGCAGCATCTTGCGGGGCTTCGTTTCAATTTATAAACTTTTTAGAATCTCTTTGATTAAGGCACCATGATTTGCTTTTCAGCAATTGTTCTTTTTGTGATAGAAGTTTTACGGCATTGCCAGTCAAATTTAACCATAAAAAAGAGCATTGCATATGGTGACAGTAAACAATTATCGATAGAATGAATTTAATACGTTCCAAAATAATAATTATTTTCCAAAATTTTCGGTAATTTGAACAGTTATAACAGTGGCATACATTAGTTTGAAAATGAAATAAATTTCGAAATTATGAAGGTTATTGTACATTTGAGACGGTTTATACACGTTCTACTATAAAGCATCAGTGGCGAGGAAGACTGTTGTCATGGATGCTGGCAGTGTTATTTGTGACTTTGAAGTGCAGACTATAGTTTTCAAGTTTTAAAAATCTATCATGCTTTAAAAAATTATTAATAATAACGAAATCAGCGTAATATTTATTTGCACTTTGCTGTTTGATCAGCTTGCGTTAACTTTTAAATTACTATGTAATAAAATGGAGATCTGTAGGAATGATGATGGATAAAATGTCATAAAAACTGGAATCGATTATGCTGCGTCAAAGGTAAACATGATACATACTTTATTGTATACTGAGCTACCTCTGAGGATATTTTACATCAGCACTGTGGTCTGTGCGAACAGGGAACAAGATTTGTATCAATTAGCCACTGTTGAGATTCGAACCTGGGTCACCTCATTAGCAGGCGAACGCTCTAACGCCTGTGCCACCTTGGCTTCCCGGTACCGTATTTTGTAGATTCATATTATTTAGTATGTAATTATATTTTTATAATGACTTCGAGCATCAAAATATCATTTTAGACACCTCAAGGATTCAATTTATTCGATTATTTTATTCAGATTGGTTAATTTCAGGCTGGTGTCCCAATCCCCCTAAAAATTCAGGTATAGTAAACCGATACTGAGCATGGTTGAAACTGTACATACTTTCATTTCATCTCCATGAAAAGTGTATACTTCTATTGGACCTTCTTCTTCATTTGGACCAGGGGGCACAGGCACACCATTTTTTATTCCATCTTCTCCAAATTGGTCGTACAAAGCTTTCCATTTTGGAGAACGTAGTACGTCATAGGCTTCGCAAATATCATGAAACCGTTTTGCTGAGTTAGGATCATCATTTCTAAGATATAATAAAACATAAACATATAAAATTACTTAAAATAAAAAGATAATGAACAAAATATATGCGTAGAATAAATAAAATATTGTTAGCAAGTGTGTTTGTAAATAGATGTTTCAGTACAATTCCCGCATATCAGCTTCATTTTAGCATTAAAAAGAACAAAATCCTTGTATACAATAGAGATGTCGGAGCTAACGTCTCTTCACTTACCTGTCCACTGGAAATCTATCAATGATTATTCAGTTACAGATAGCAACCAATAGGAATACATTTCTATTGGGATGAGAATAAAAATTGTTCAATAGGAATGGTGCAAACGACGATTGATTTATTCCACTCAAGTGATATAGTTCAGCCTCTGCCATCGTTATTGATTTAGTAAAAATAAAATAAAATTAGGAAGCAGCACTGAGCAAACACATAAACATTTTGTAATTGTTAAAATTGAATACTGTTACTTATAACTGCGGCCAGTGTAAAGAGTTTTTTAAAAAAAATATAGCTCATAAATTTATCGTGATAAATAGTGATTTAATACTTATTTTGAACTGTCTAAGTTAACATTTTCTCGAATAGTTTTGATTTTAAATAAAACAATCGACTATGGATCTTAATAAATTGTATTTATGAGCTGCGATGGTTAAATGGTTAAGACACTGAGCCGTCATTGTAAACGACGATCCCCGTTGGCGACTTGAAGCCCTCCCCCCCCCTCTCAGCTTCAGATCGATGGGTGTCAGTTTGTCTGAGAAGTAAAGGCGGAAAGTGCGCAATGTTGGACACATTGCCTCAATTCTCGAAAGTGTGGAGCATTAACCTTCTTGACACCTTTAGCCCACAATGGGCTGCTGCGGAAATGCTTCAAATTCCTTTTATGGTTTGAGAAATATTTTTATTTTGCTTTTTAACTACTATAAAAACACACCTTTTCCATAAACTATCTTTTTCTATTGTGATTTTCCTGCTCATTAACAAAAAAAAAAACTTTTTTGAAACTTCGTTATTTAGAGTTTTGATAGTGATATACTAATTCAAACTAATTTATTTACAAGGAATATAAAACAAATAAAATCCAAAGGCATACATCTTTTTTTGTTTCACTCAAACAAAGCAGCGGGGAAAATATTAGCAATTTTTCAATAAATATATCTCAAACCGCCGACCAGGCGGCCGAGCGGTTAATGTGCCTGACTGCGGAGCCGCTGGTCGCGGGTTCGAATCCTGCTTAGAGCATGGGTGTTTCATTCTCTCTGTGTTCANTTTACTTTAGGTGTATAGAAATAGAATTGAACTTAAAAGGGCTCCATCATTTTCAGTAGCTTAGGGCCCCGCCAAGCTTAAATCCGGCCCTGGTGACGCTGCTCCACCGCCGTAGCTTCGCCACAGGTGCCGACTGGGTAATTTACAAGAGAGTAGCAGTTCGGGAATTCTTTCGGCCAATGGGACAACCCCCAAGTGCCCACCATTAAAAAAAAATATCTCAAACTAATTTTGGTAACAAAAAATATAAAGTTTCAGACTGGCAAAAAAACTTAATATGATCCGAGTTCTAATCCACTAATCAGATAATATGATAACCACATATTGGGTTGGTTTTTCTATAGTTTCAAATAATAAAGAATTTAAGCACATTTAAGACGTAAATGAATATAAATAGTTCCCTATCGAGAAATGCGTAGCCTCCTTAAAAAAATNCGCAAAAAAAAAAAAAAATAGAAGAAGCGATAAAATTAATTTTAAAAAAATGTGTACTCATGTTTCCTCCAATCGGATATATCTTTTAATTTAAAAAAAAGACAAAGTTAATCAAAGTTTGTATCACGGTATTAGCATGTATAGTGCGCCAAAAAAAAAAAAAAAAAAAAAAAAAAAAAAAAAAAAAAAAAAAAAAAAAAAGACGCCCTGAATAACTTTTGGATCGGATCTTCACGCTGTATGACTCAATCTTACTGGTTTGAGAGGTGACCTCAAATATGCTAATTAATTAGCATAGACGATATTTTAAGGTTACTCAGATACGACGGTATTTTAAAGAAATCAGATACAAAAGCGTACTTTCTCTGAATAAACATACCTTTTTTTTAACGGATTCGGATTTCTCACCCTCAAAATATAGCTTGTAGCCGCAATATGGGAAATATCGTCTCCTTAGTTTGGTCAGGAGAGCGATCCAAAGTTTAGACTCCTTAATATTAATTTTACTTATTTCGCCTTATCTCGAGAACTTTTTAAGCGAAGTAAAAAAGTTTGCTCCCATGTTATAAAATTCGCTTACCCAAAGATGCATGAAAAAAATTAATTTTTGTGAATATATATTATCTTATTTATTAAACAATAGCGAAAAAATTTTTAATTGTAAGGTACATAATTAATTACATCGTTTTAAGGTATGTACTTTTACTTGGCGGCAAAATACAAAATTTGAGCGAAATCGGTTTGAATAGTTCCTGAGGAATCGAACTTCGAACATGCAACTTTTTTAAAATTCGATTTCTCAGAAGTTATTCAACCGACTTCGCTCAAGTTTTGTATTTTGCCCCCCCCCCGTAAAATTACATACCTTAAGGCCTGGTTTCTTAGGACATCACGCTGAGCTAACAAAAAAGTAATTTTTGGCGTCAGCTCTACGTCAACTTTCCGCTGACGCCCAGAGAAGGCTCTAGTTCTAAGAAACCAGGTCTTGAGCTAACAAACCAGTATTTTGTTGGCGTCAGCGTGACGTTGACGTCACGCTGACGCCCAGATAAGGCGCTTGTCCTAAGAAACCAGACCTTTAAAATTTTTTATACCTTATAATTTAAAATTTTTTCACACCATTTCCTTGTTGCAATTTAAAATTTAAATAATAAAAAATGCTTAATAAATAAAATGTATTTTATTTAGATTATAATGTTTTTATGCTTAAATTATGTTTTGTTTGTTAATAAAAAAGTAGTGCTTAATAAATAAAATGCATTTTATTTAGATAATACTTTTTTGATGCTCAAGTTATGTTTTGTTTCTATTTTATTTGACAGGGTGTTCCACGCAAACGCACACTGGCAACAACAACAAAAAAGCCGCTTTTCGCAATGGGCACTCTTTAAATATATATTTATAATATTTTTTTTTTACACCCTGCCAATCTTTAATTTTTCCATTCTAAAGTTAATTTTTCGATAAGTTTTAATTAAAAATATATCAATAATTGTTTAAAAACCGTTGACGCTCATAACTGCAAAACATTTTATATTGAAATTTATAAGCGGATAAATAAATTTAAATTATAAAAAAAATAATGACAAATGTCTAAAACCTCTGTGGGTGAAATTTTAATGACAGCCTCCTAAACGCTTTCTTAATATCTTCATCTGTAGCATTTCTATTCAATTCCAGCAATCCATAATAATCAAGCCCCATATTTTTAACTTTTTTTTAAATCGAATTTAGAAAGAATACTTATTTTGATACAAACCTCAATTTTAAAATGGAAGTTGGCATGAAATAGTTTTAGAACTAATGCTTGAATAAAAAAAATTTGGCTTACAACTCACTTATTCTAATGAAACAATTCAATGTAGCAATTCTGATTAAATAATTTTGCAATGTTGTCATTGCTTTGTTAACCATAAAAACAAAATGAACATTATTATTAATTATAATTTTAGAGTTCTTATCGCGTTCTTCATCATACCAAATACTGTAAGACATTACTTTAATAGCAACAAGTAAAAGCATCAAACGAAG